GCAGAATTCCTGGTTGCTCTGTGGTTAGCAAGAGGCACAAATCTGTCGTCCAATCTACTGTAATTGTGGAGGTAACATCTCAGTATATAACCCAGCCTATCCTGCTTACATTCACAGTATAGTGTATAGAAAATCAAAGAAAACATTACCTTTTCACAAATTAGATGCTATGGCGAAGATAATTTCTCAAAACTCTTTAATAGAAAAATGTGGATTTGTTTCTATCCTAGCTAAAGGTTAAGTGTAGTATTTAGGGTTCATGATCAAACTATAGTCTCCAGGCAGAATCTCCAGTTCACACTTTGATCAGTCCAGATTAATTGAGCCACCCTGAAAAGGTACTCTATCTTATTTTCCTCTAAACCAAGACAAAGTTTTATGAAATAACATCCATGGTCAGCCTCTGGACCCTTCACATTTTTCTTGCTCTTGGCCTTCGTCTTTCATTTCCCTTCACAAACCGTCTTCTCTCCCTTCAACCACATTCTCTAGACTTTACTTAGGTGGTGTTCTTCTGTCTGACAACAGGAAGAAGCAATTATTATAACTTTATGTAACAGGTTCTGCCGAAATATTTGTGCTCCCGTTTCCACGGTAATTTAGACTGCTGCTATAAATGAAAAGTAAAGTTAGATATCATCTCACAGAATCTTTGCTGAGAGACATCCGTTCCATTGGTCACGTCTAGGTTTCAGAGATTAGCTGGGTCATTTGTAATTCAGGTGGAACAGACACATGCAATGTTCAAGCTGCTTCTGCTTTGTTTTTCTGTTTGTTTCTACAGAACGACTTTGTGAGCAGGGTTGAATGCACAACAACACTATGCATGTTTGTGTGTGTGTGTGTGTGTGTGTGTGTGTGTGTGTAAGCATTTGTATACACACATATCTTTAAAGTACAAAGAAACATTTCAATCAGTTAGAAATTGATATTTATCTATTTTAAAGTTTGACAAATGACAAAATTGTATTTGTTCATACTTTTAAGACGTCACATTTATAGACTTTGGCAGAAGACCATGATGAATTCCAGAAAAAAATCAAAATAGAGGCAAAGTATGTTGTTATATTATTCTTCAGAAATAAATTCCTTTTTGCTCAAGCATCTGAGAGGAAATTTCAAAATTTTATGAAGTACAATGATATGGTATAATTTTTCAAAATGGCTGTTTTTTCAACTGTGGAAATATTTTTCTGTAGAATAGCGGTTTGTACAAAGTTTAATAATTGTTCTTTTCATCCTTATCACATTTACTAAATATAGAGCATTGCTAGAAAAACTTAGAAAGGAAAACAAAAGCATCTAAAGCCCTCAAGGTTAAGACACTTGGCTACAAGTAAACAAATATCTTCCAAAATTAAACAAGTAGTTTGAGAATTGTTTTCAGATGAGTTATTTCATTCTTTTTCATCATAGATAGCAAAGGGATTTTAATTTGTAATAACTTAAATTCAATTTTTAACATCAAATATTGATGAAAATACAGTGTTATTTTAAAATAATAAAAATTTCCTTGTTAGCCTAACATGCATAATTTTACAATTTATTTGACCATTAAAATGCTGTAATTTTGTATAGATTAATCACATTTCACATTAGTGTTTTCTTCTCTTGAATTCATGTGCTGGGAGTCTATGTATATGAATGAAGGGGAATTTGTTAGGGAAAAGAACGATTTGATACCTTTTTAGAACTCATGATAGTCATGTCTCTGAAGAGGGGATTTTTAAAAGAAAACTCCCTTACCAGAGTTACCCACACGCATCGTTTAAACATGAAAATTCTTGTATTGTTCAGTTTTTATTAAGAAGACTGTTGACTTCAATACTAAAAATATCACAAAGGATTTCTTACTGTTCCAGAAAATTTCTGAGCACTTATTTTTCTGGTGATTAGATTGCTCATGTGTTTCTCTATAGTTCCAGTTGAGGTTGATGGAGGTGGGGACTTTACATTTTCTGAATCCTCACTATGGGTCCTATCCTCTCCCAGTATTTTACATATGCTGTCATGTGTAATATTCACAATCATTTGATGAGAAATCCACTATTATCCTTTCATTACAGAGTTGGCATTTGAGGCTCAGAAAGGTTGGTCATGTCATGAGGATAATAAAGGAGCAAGAGTAAATAGTGCATTTGTGTTGACCTTGATACCTGCTATCACTTCCTTATTCTATTTGATTTCCCAGAAGTTGCCTTTAGTGCTTTGCTAATTTGGGATGTATTTGCAAAAGATTTATCCACAAATATCTGGTCAGTTAGTTTCCATCTAGGAAATCATAGCATACAAAAGAGGTATGGTTTCAAATCTTCATCTATTTAAAATCATTAGCAATTTGACATGAGAAACTGAAAATAACTATTAAGTAAACATTTATCAGTGAGAAAAAGTGATCAGAAAGCTCCTACATTCTGTAGAGCTGCTTTTGACTCCTATCACAGGAAGGGAGGGTTGAACTGATAATCCTCAGAACCAAGTATGTCAAGTTCTTGGTCTTTCTTCCTTTTCTTGTAAAGTAAATGTTTGATATCTTGGAGTTGAAGAAAGACCACTATTCCTACCCATTTTTTTCAAGACTCAGAAAAATCTGAGTTAACACTGTAATTTATTCTCTCTCCGTCAGCCAAAATGAAGCCACAAATATACGGGCATTTTGTCTTCTGTCTATAGAATCCTGCTGCTCTAAGCTGGCCTCCTTCTCAACTCAGGGCCTGGCCATCGCTCCAGTCCCAGCCTCAGAGTTTTCAGAGGGTGCTGTACTTTTCCTTTCCTAACTTATATAAAATCTCTTGGTATCTTTCCACTGATGTTTTTTTAACTGTAACTTTGAATTTTGGCATTCACATTTTCTACAGTTTAAAGTAAGGCTTTTCTACCATACTTTGTTCCTCTTTTAAGATTTGTTGCAAACTTCTAATTGACAGATTGAACAACAAAAGAACCCACTGCACACCCACTAGTCTTTTTTTTTTTTTTTTTTTTTTGGAAGGGGGGAACATTCTATAAAAAAATTGAACAATGTAAGACACACACTGATGAACATTGCTTCTTAATGAAATTCGTCACCACCTATGCTCAGTTCCTTCTTCTCCTCTTATCGCCTCCACCCCCTGCACACACAAACAACAGGAAAAGCCCTCAGAAAACCAGTTTTAACAGTATTTACAGGCTAGTGTTCATTTTCAAAAGAGAGTTTGTAAAACTGGAAATCTTGGTTTGTGTTTCAAGTGCATGAGGTGGTAAATTCTCTAAAGTCAGACTACCATCTTGTATCAACCTGACAATTTGTTGTGTGTATATACCATCATTCTAGGACCACTTATAAAATTCTTTTCTCCCTAAAAATTATGAAATCTAATTTACTCACTTTCTGTTGCAGATATTTTTTGCAAGCAGATCTCTTTTGTTAGAAAGTTAGTAATAATGAATGGGAAGATAAAGGCACACCAAAAGAAAGTTTATGGTGTTTATAGGTGTTAGTCATACGGACTGGACATTCTTTGCTTTTAATATAAAATATATGACAGGTAGTGCTCAGACATTTTGTAAATTGAGTCGTAGAAGACATCACTTTGAGCTACCCTTAGCTCAGGTACAAGCATATATAGTATAGGTGTAAGAATGAAGAAACATTTGCTTATAATTTCTTTGGTTTCATCGGAAGAATGCCTAACAATTTTTACATATGCAAGGTTTACTCCATAAAGAGAATAGGAATATCTTATCTTCTATTCAGCTAACAGGTTTCAGCAGTTTTCTGAATACTTATGAGTAGCTCCGAAATTCATATAAGTTCATGTAATTCACACAGCATCTGTTGTGAAAAAAATAAAGTGATAATTTACATCCAATTAAAATATTTTTCATTAGATAAAATGCTTTAATAAACCAACAAATTTATATAAGAAAACAGCACTCCTTGGGAATGAAATAAGACAGTTTTCTGTGGCACATGCAAAAAATCAAAGACTGTCAATTGCAACCAGAATGAGTCAATGTCTTTTATGTGAAATTTTAATCTGTGGATTTCAAAACAAAAAAAAAAAACCTGTTTGCTCATACTTGCTTCAAATTTATGTAAGTTATTTAAAAGCATATCTGTCATTGGGTGCTCTTATTAAAATGTATCTGCTGGCGAGCCAGACACTTCAGGAGAACCTCTCGCACATTACCACCTTTCTGTCTTTTAAATGCTTTTCCATTGTAACTGTATGGGAATATATGCAACCAAGGAAATTTTAAAGGAAATTAAAAGCTCCTTTGATGATATGAGGGTTCTTTACCTGTAAAAATCAGCTTCTACCTAGTTTTGCAGGCAATTCTGCAAATGCATTCTGGAAGGGCAGATTCCAATGGTGAAACATGAAATAAACTGAAGCATAAAAGGGGTGTCAAGTAAAGAGAAAGTTGGTGGGTCTTGCTAATTTTTTTTTTGCTTTAAATATTTTTAGGCCTCTTCCCCACTGCTGTTGGGTCATTTCTCTTAGCGATACTAAAACGCCTTTGTCCGTCTGGAGGAGGCAACCATGTGTCCATGAATGCTTATTTAGTATGGTGAGGACAGATGGCCTGGAATTGCTGAAGAAGACCTTAAGATATATTTAAAAGAGGAAAGGGAGAGAAACAATCAGACAGGAAATAAATTAGAGAAGAGGCGAACGCGTGGCAAAGAAAACTGCGCACACAGACACGCGTACACAGATGAAGACGGAAGATACAGGGGTTAGGAAGACCTGATTTTATAAATCTGGGTTTTCTGTAGAAACTTTGGTTTTCATTATTGTTGGTCTGCTGTCTCTGTAGCAGAAATCTGCAACCACAGTCACTATTGTTCTGAGCTCAGTCTGTGCTCGTTGATGTATAATATACCTTATAGCATCCAAACTTGTAATGTGGCTTTTGAATTGCCAAGCCTCAGGGGTTTTACATAAATCAAAGAGAATTAAATTGAAATCCCTAACACCCTAAGTTAATGGTTTAATATAATCTGTCTCATCATGAATTTATCTCACTAGCATTGTATTTCCCCTTCGGTCATAAAGTTAAGACAACACACATACCCTTTCCAATTAAAGCCACATTGGGGGTGAAGAGGGGTACCCGTGTGGAAGAGGTGGACACAGAGGTTTCAGTGGGCAAAGAGTGTTTCAAACAGACTGTAAGATGTTTTAAGATGATAAAAAGTGACATTAGTGGTTTCCTTATTATGTACTTTTTCAAGTTATCGCATTAACATTTCCCCCGTTTTCTTCAGATTTATTCTATTTCAACCATGCTCTGAATCTGCCAGGTAACAGAGGGCTGTTGCTTCCATTGCCAGGCTTTCTGCTGCTCTTAAAAATATTAGATTCCAAATTTCTTCTTATTGCCTTCTGAGTTGTCATGGTTATCAAATGACACCTTCTCTAAATTCTCTCTCGTTTTAACTCTTTTCCATTCTTTGAATAAATAGGCTACTTGAAAACTGAGAGAGAGAGAGACAGAGAGAGGGAAAAATACATCAGATCCGAGTGTTAAAAGTAGTAAAAGAAGCAAAAACACAAGGCACAAAAGGAAAAGAAATATTTTCTTATCCACCAATTGAAATTAACATTTTCTTCCAGAAACATAAAATGTCATTAAATTTAAGAAGTGCATAAACTACCTGCTTTATATAAAAGGTTTCTAACAAGCTCTGGGTAACTCGCTGCCTGCTAAGTTATTCTTGCACTGTGGTTGGAACTCCTCCTCAGCAACCATCCCCACCCGTCCCCACCACCACCACCACCAATCAGACAAGGAGCAGAGATGCTGGATTTCTAAAGTAAATAGAAGGGGTAGTCTTTTGGATACAAACACCTTTAAAAATAGAATAACGAGAAAATTCATAAACAGAGCATTCACAAGCATACAATACTTTTGTCTTACAAAAACATCTGTTGCTCAGATGAGTGTTTTGAACACTGAGTTCTTTGGATTGCCCCGAAGAAGGTGTGCTGGGTGGTGGCTGTCTGTGGACCTGGCTCGCAGGGAGGTCAGCCTGACTCCCCAGCCTGTTGGTTCAGCAATTTCCCAGTGGTCAGCCCGTCTTACCATAATCACATGCTGGCGCCCCAAGCCTGTTTCTTAACTGTACTTTGTACCTTCTAATGAAAGCGTCCCGAAATATCCCCAACCGCTCAAATTCAGGGGCAGCCGTGACCTCAGACTGGACTGCTGGACATACGTTTGCTCAGACAGAATGGCTGATGCAAATCCCCTCCATGGGGACTGAAGTGCCCCCTCTCTGCGAGTTTTTGTCACTCTACAGCTTCTGCTTGTGTGAAAGCATTCCAGAGCCTTTGACATGTAACTGATTGGAAAACTTTAACCTAACACACAGTTTCCTGTAACTTGGAGCTACTTAGAAAAAAGAAATTTCATGTGATTTGCAGTTATTTATGAAAAATAAAAAAGTAAAAAAAGAAGGATAATTGTAAAGGCCTTTTTGTGTATTTACAAGCAATAAAAATAGAAGTAACAGCAAATAAAAGGAACCTGTGAAAAATCAATGCAGTTAATCCACCTGAAGAGAGATGTACTTTATTTTCTCTTCTATATAAATGAAAAATAATATTCTGTTTAAAGTATCATTCTCAGAATAAATTTTTGGACAAGTTATACCAAAGCAGCTGTGGATGAACACATATTACTGGACTCACTAGAATCTTATAGGTATTCCCACAGAAGGTTCCAGAGTAATAGGGAGGTACCACTTTTCATAAAAAGATCCTTTGGAATACCAGGAAAATCCAAAGGAGCTGCATCTAAACTCAACAGGTGTTCCCTGGGTACTGCATCTCATTAAGTCTAGTATGCTTCAGTAATTACACAGCAGCTTGGTCCAATGAGGCTTGACCAGAAAAACATATTTTTATGACTTGCTAAGGAAATAAGCAAAAAGTAAACTTAGATAAAAACTACAGAGATTCATTTTGTTATTTTGGCATATTTAATAGACATTCAGATACCTTTGAAGCTTCCTTACAACACAATGCTTATAGATTCACAAAGTAAGTCACACAAGCTGATTTTTATATTAGCAAGAATGTGTATTTAAAGTAGTCTCCTGGTTTCAAACATTGCATTGTGACCTAGACAAAAAAATCTGTAAAAAAGATAACAAAATATGCTGATATGATTTTATTCAGATACACGGCATTTTTATTTGTATAATACCAACTCTCCTCCTACAGCTATACTTTATAAACATGATTGAGTGAGAATAGAAAGAAATCTTGTGTTATCTCAGCTTTGGGAAGCTTTATTGCTCTAGCTGCACTTGCTCTGAAGCACCAGGCTATTAAAACCCGTTAGAATATTGTATAGCAAGTAACTAACAAGACATTAATAGAGATTCCTCTTGTGTCTTGAAATACAGCATGGCAAAAATAATCCCTCCTTTACATATATACAAATATATCAAAGGCCCAAAGTCTGATGCAGTGTTTCTATAACTAACTTATTTCATTATAAGATTCAGAGTTTAAACCTTATCTCACTGTACTGAGAGTCCATAATGTTTCTAAATGGAAGAAAATATAATATAGTGTACATATAGATAAATTTTTTTATGCCACTATGCATATTGTTTTATACATACATAATTATAGTACACTTCTTCAACAAGAAGAGAAAGGTACAAATTCAGTTTTACTAGAAACTCTCTGGGTCTTTAGCTACTGCCTGCTTGTTTTTCATTCTTACATGGGCAGAGGGATGACGCAAGCTTGCTAAGAGTAACAAGCAGTGTCTGAGACGAGTGAAAGTCAGTTTATCCTGATAATTTTTGGCGTGCTGCTTTCTCTAACTGCAGACCTCTCCTTTTCTTAAAATCAGTTAATTTTTTTTCTGCAATCTTTTTTTTCCCTATAAAGTAACCCCTTGTGTCCTTCTGAGGCTCCTCACTGAATGATCTCTTTTTCTTCTAATTATATTTCTTCACCTTGGGAGAGACTCACACCGCTTCAGGATAAGCAACCCAGCAGAGCCTAAGGTCAGGTGTGCCCTAGAATCTAACTCTAGAAATTACAATTCCGAAATAAGAGCAGGAGAGGGAAAGCAGAGGCAGAGTGGGGAATTTGTACAGATATTAAGGCTCATTCTAAGGAATAATTAACCGAACAGCATCCTATGTTACATCATTTGCTTGAAATCTCAGAGGACAAACTAAGGAAGATCTGAATCTACTTCTTCTTAAGAGCCATGGGGTTAACAAATTAGTTGTACAAATACCAAAGCCTTTGAGTCGTATTTCCCAAGTTTATCTTGCTCTGGGGTTCAAAAATAGAATTCTACTTGTGAACCAGCAGAACACAAAGTGTGCCAGTAGCATCTGCACCTTAAAGACAATACAGTGAAGAACATCAAAGAAAAGAAGAAATATACTTAAAGTAATAGGTAGCTTTTATTCCCTTTTATAAATGGGGCTCAGTGAAACAGCTAATGAGGGGGTCAGCAAAAGAAATTTCTGAGCTCATTCTTGAAGTAAAAGGAACTTCTAATTTGGGAGAAGTCTGGGACCTTTGTGAACTGCAAACTCCAGGTAGAGGAATTGTAGGTAGAAAAGGGAGAAACATTAGCAGAGCTTTAAAAACCAAGTCTTCAGCTGGGCTTTTGTTTCACACATATGCAAATGTGTGCACTGCTTCATTTGAATATTTATTTACTGCATTTGTGAAGGAAATTGGGGGATTATAGCCTCTCCCCAGCTGTGTTGTAGTTAATGACTGGTCAGCCTATTAGCCTGCTCTACTAAACGGATTCTCTGCACAAGCAACACCTTTTTTCCTCTGACTAGAAATTCTTCATACAAATAACAGTGGGGGAAACTAGCACACCAAATCCATGGAAAGCTGCACAACAAAAATGAAAAGATTGCCCCCTGGATCATTAGACATAAGCAAGAAAACGATACCATGATAGTGACTTTTGAATTATTGTAATAAAGCGAGCAAACATTTACTTTCCAAATACTGCGGGAGCAGGGAGTTGGCTAATAAATTTTATTACTGAAAACTCATTCGAGATGCTCTTTTAAATGGTCTCTTCCTCAGACTTGCTCAGTTATTGTCCTTTACAAACGGAAACACATATGTCAGTGAGCATTTCAAAAGTTGCTTGGGCAATTATTAATATTGGAGGTATGTATTTGGAACACGAATGCACTATTTCTCAATCTTCTTACTGCCAAAACACAAAAAGAAAAAATGAATACTTTTTAAGAAGCAAATCCTATGTACTGTCATTGTTTAAAACAATTTACTTCAAGACATCATCACTGCTTTTGAGGTTAAAGACCTGTGCCATGACAAACTCATTTCTAGGGATTACTAGCAAGGAAATCTTTAGATCCAAGAGCCCTAATATAATACTCAATATCTAGCAATCTGCCATTGATAGTATTGATAGTTTAAAAAATAGCATCTATATACATGTGCTTCCAATGCTGAAAATTTATTTTATTACCAAACTGTCTGTCTTCTTTATGTCTTTTCAAATATCATTTAATATAGATTTATCCTTCACAGTGAGAACATCACTAATTCTAACACATACAGCTAATCCACAGAGATAATTAAATAAAATTACCACCAAAGTTCTGGTTTATATGTCTAGGTCCATGAAAAACTTGCAGTTTTTTTAGTAGAGTATTCTTAATGGAATAAATATAAACTGACTTCTTTGAAACTATAAGATTTATATAAACAAATTGAACTTGCTCATGTGTGTGATATTATTGAGAATAACGAAGGAGTAACTGAGAACTTGCAAGAAATTTTAGTTGTTTTTTTTTGTTGTTGTTGTTGTTGTTGTTTGTTTTTTGTTTTTTTTTTTGGTACCAGGAATTGAACTCAGGACCTTGCACTTGCCAGGCAGGTGCTCATGCCTCTGAGCTATATCTCCAGCCCTATTGCAAGCAATTTGGACATAAGAAAATGTTACTGAACTAAAATTATTGCACAATTGAATTTTACCTATTAGACTGACAACTCAAATATTTACACTACCAAACCAAACAATAGGGGGAAAGATGCTGTCAGGTAAGTAGAAAAGCAATTATGTCAGGGAAAGAATGTTATAAGGACAAGTGTTCTACCTAAAAAACCACTTCAGTTCCTTTAGTGCTAAGGCCACATTAGTTCTGCCGTGATACTCCTAACGTTTCAAGTCAGTGAGAGTGTATGCCATCCTTCTAGGTTGAGAGAAGTGGTGCACACGTATCAATGACACCCCTTCCTTCTAACATGAGTTTCTAAACCAATTCACAGGCCCATCAGGGATATTTCTGGTTCATTCCTTCTGTGGGGCAGAGGAAGACAGATTGCTGGATCAGATAGTGCAATACGCTGTCTACTGCATTTGAAATGTGCCTTTTTTTGAAGCAGCAGATTTATTGATTTTCTTAAGTAGAAAATATGCACCCGGACATTAGACAAACACAGACTAAACACAGACTGAGGAAAAGCTGATAATTTGATTAAACTGACTGAGCTTTTGTTGTCTGTGTTTGGGGAATTTCCAGTAATGTACAAGTGCCAAGAGCTCCTCTTCTGAATTTAAAAAATCAAATCCCTAGGCACAACGGATTTTACAATTGTGCCATATTTAGAGAATTGTTTTCCTTTAGGAAAATATTTGGAAGGATTCATATATTGCTTAAATTGAAAAGAAGGTGGGGTGGAAGCTTGGCCTGGTTCATATACAGGACTTTACTCAGGCCTCAATATTGGCCAGCCAGAAAGCATTTGGTATAAAGCCCTGCTGTTGATGTACACTTATCATACACAGTAATAACACGAGCTGCATTTTATGGATATCAATATACTATTTCATTTGCTCTACCTTTAAGAAGAATTCTCAGATTGTCTAAGTAAATATTTTGTATCTATCTATCATCTATCTATCCATCATTATCATAAATAAAGGTAAAATACATCTTTAAAATTTTGCAGCGTCTTAAAGTATTTGAATATACACGAGATGTAGCTAATGAACTCTATTTTTCACAATTTTGAGTCTGAACTGAGTTAAATATTTAAGGTTTCTAGGCTGCTTCTCATAATATCACTTCACATGTTTTAGGGAACAGTTTGATTATCTCACGATGTCACAAAGTGCTGGTTATTTCATTTACCTCTGTAGCTGCCTGAAATGAGATTAGTGGCAGCAGGTGCGTGTGTGGGTGTGGAGTAATGGGACCAGGGAGTAATATAGGAAAGTGTGTGAGGGATACTGAGCTTTGTGAATTAACTGAATGAGGCCTTGTGAACCTCTATTGTGAATAGCGCTCGACGGCCTTTATATCTTTTCTTTGTCATGTATACTATGATATTTAGAAAAACTCTAAGTCTCTAGTATTCTGCCAAGACATGTCACAGAATGACCATCTCCAGCTACTTTAATCATGATGTCTTCCTTCTCCTTTTATATCTCAGGTCTCCACTCACTAGGATTTTATTACTCTTCTTGCGTATTATTCTGAATCTTCTATTCATTGCTACTGCGTGATAATATTTTGCTCCTTTTGCACTCACTGAATCCTCAGATCCTTATGTCTTATCATAATACTCTCTCTCCTCCTTTCAGTTTCTGCCAATTCAAGTTCTTATTGCATTACCTCTTCTAGAACTTGCTACTCCAGCTCCTTTGCATAGTAAAATATTTGATCACAACTTTTCAGAAATTCTTGTGTGTCTACTTGAGATTCCAGTTGCTTTCCTCAGCCTACACAATATATCTATGCATATATATAATTTTTTTTCAAAACGGAGAATTGAACTCCAAACAGCTAATCATTATGATTACCAGGTGGAGGAATAATCTCAAAGCCGCCAGTTCAACTGCTGCTGAGACAGTTAAAATATTAGTATTACTACCAAGATAACTTTATTACTTATTCAAGTGAATTTTAATTACTAATTTTACTCTTCTCCAATTTCCTTTGAGCCAAGAATATTTATGAAAAATTAAGGTAACACTGAAGCTTAAAATTATTTTGTCTTCCTTATATTAATACAGAAATTTATTTAATGATTGAGCTCAGCTAGCCTGAGATGTTTAAACAAATCCACATAGGAGACGGGTTTAATGGTAATTTCAGTCTCTACTCTTTCTGATTTGCCTCTCTATATTTTCAAGTGCATAGCAAAGATAATTTCCACCAACTTTTCTTCAACCTGCATGAACTAATTAGGGAAAATAACATATAAGGAAAAGCAAGCTGCCAATTTTTAGACAGAGGACATTTTACACAGTGTGTGAGTCTTCTTTCAGGGACCTCCAATGCAATTCAAATATATTTCATTTTATTCACTAATTCATAACTTTAGTGTTCAGAAATTGTGTATATGTGTGCACACAAACATTATTTTAAGCGTTCTAAGAATTCAATTATATGTAACCAAATTACAGTCCCTTCTAACTTGACACATACTTGTTTGCTCTTTCAATCTGCTGTCTTGAAAAGGATCTTTGAACAAAGGAGCATTTTTCACTAACTACATCCAGTATGACATTCAGGTGCTTAACTCTGAGAGTTTTTCTTTTTTTACAGAAGTCAGCCTCGCGGGGGTTGAAAGAGTAGAGGTCAGGAAACCTACCTTCACCTCGTGATCCCGCTGTGGGCAACTTACTTAATTTTTCTCAGCGTCTGTTTCCTCATCTGTGGAATAACAGGTTAGAGAAACAATGTCCCTTCTAACTTACGTTTCTATATTTATGGCCCGTGGATTTTGATGCTTATTAACAGTTCTTGTTAAGAACATGGTATGAATCTCTGAATTTAATAATCAGGCTACTATCACACTCTTAAAAGTCTGGATGTCGGCCAAAGTCCTCCTCCACACTGTATGAGTCCTAATTCAGATCAGGGACCCAGGGGTGGGCGGTGTAGGTGAGCGCTCTAGCAGCACACAGGAAGTTTACCGGAAGGTATTAACTGAAAGGAAGCACGCGGGGAAATATCCCGTCACCCAAACGGAAACTCCTGTAGCAGACAGACCGAGGCCTTGCACGGGATCTCCCAAGCATGGCCACCCACAGCTGCCATCACACTGGCAAGCTTCCCTTTTCCCTTTCAAAAATACATTGTATGTAAGTTTTTATGATATCTACTTTGCTGGTGACACATCTGAATACCTTCAAATAAGTCGGACTTCATGCATTTTTTTTTCAACCCCCAAATGTAGTTTTTTCTTGTTAACACTTGGAAATTATTATAGACTACTAAGGGAAAGAAAAAATTTGTAGTCCTCATTAGAGATGGTTTTTTTCTGTCTTGCTCAGGGTGCCCTCAATCTCAAGATTGTCTACACTCAGCTCCCACAGTGCTTGGGTGATAGCTGCCATACATCACAGAAAAATTAGTTTTTGATAGTGGTAATATTATTTTCATTTCTAAGTAGCAAACAAAGCCAAAAACTCAAAAGAGAGAAAAAGAACTCTTCGCCTTATCTGTAGCACATTAATTTATTAAAAAGTTAGCAGAAGCTTTTATTAATTTGTGGTCCTCTTAAAACCTTAATTTTATTTCTTCCTAAAAATAATTAATACAGGTAGACTTTTCCATTTGCATTGTTTTCAGAGATATCATTGTTTTCAGAGACATGACATTCATGAACTGGACTATAATTCCATTGTACATTAAATATGATCGAATGTCAGCAGTACTTTCTTACCCAAAATAAACCCATTGTTCTGTTCAAACTCTTATTCGTTCTTGTGTAAACATGTTCAGTGATGAAAATATTATTGCAGTCACCCATTTTACATGCAAACAGGGGGATTTTCGAAAGCTGCAGCTGCCCATATCATGTCATTCTACAAAGAAAATATATTCAGAAAACTAAAGGCAGCATCCACTGACCATTAGCAGTATTCCAATTATTTATGTAGTCACTTGCCAAAGAAATGATATCTAGTATTAAGAGTAGAGAATTTTTCAGAGTAGTCATTTAATTTTTTTATATTTATTGCAAAGATATTTATCAAGACTATGATTTACATGAATGCAACAACTATTCATGGAAGCAGAAAATTTGTTTAATGGTAGAGAAAGGAGATGATGTAAATAAGATCTGTTTTGGACAGAGTCATCCTTAATCCATTAGAGGAGATAAAGAAGGAGCACAAGTAATTTTAATTGAATATAATAAAGAATTTAAAACTTTACATGTATCTGTGTGTTTGTGTGTGTGTGTGAATAACTACGAAAGCTTTGGCAGGGAGAAACGGAAGATTTCAAGGAGGTTGACATCTGCGTCACCCTTTGAAGGAAAGAATGTTCCAACAAATGGAAATGTGGGGAAACCTGTTCTCTATGTGAGGGGAACGGCATCGCTAATCTGTGATTATCAGAATGGATTGAAGAATACCAACTGAAATTTGGCTGTAATCCTGCAGGTATTTCAAGGGGATCATGCAGTATGGAAATTAGGTGTGATATGATTTGTAGGAGGCCTCAGATTTTGTCAGTAGATGGTAAAGATTCATTGAATTGGACATGATAATAAGAAACAGGTAGACAGATCTTTTACAAAAGGGAAGGGAACCAAAGGGTGGAGGAAGGTAGGAGGGAGGGAAGGGAAAGGAGATGGAAGAAGAATTGAGGTGTGCTCGGTATGTGTATGAAATCCCCCTGAGGAATGTACTGAAAACACATAGCAATAAAAATAGAAAAACATGAGGGGCTTGCAATGGTGAACTTGGAGAGAGAAATGTGTAGTGAAAAGAGAACTAGCTAGGCAGAGAATACAGTAATGCGGTTAAAGAACATAAGAAACCAGAACAAAATAATGTTAATCAGAATGAAATGGAGCTATTGGTGCATAAGGAATTCAAAAAGGAGAATCGGAGATTGCGAGGACTGTTAGGGACATGTGCTTAGGTAAGAGTTAGGGATAACAAAGAGATTTGATCCTGGATTGTTACAAAAGTGGTAAAACTACTAGCATATGACCTGTGGAAATGGTAAGAAAAGAGGAAAATTTAACAAATCAATATTACCCATATTATATTCAGGAGACCACAAAATGACACGGGAAAGGTAAGTTAGCTGTAGCTGTGCGATTGTGATAAAGCATTCAAGGAGAAGCCTGAGCTTCTTTATACTGGTAAAGGCAGCATGAAAACAAAGTGTTAATTGAGATGAAAGGTCAAACCACGAATCAGCTCAGGAAGCTGTGAAAGGTAATTGTCTTCACTGTTGAGGTGTTCATTTTGACACCAATTAAAAACTTCTTCATGTCTCCTCCTCCTTGGACTCACCCTGCCCCAGGCTTGGACTCCTGATCATGGCTTGACCTGCAAAGTTACAGTGGAGAGAGGGTTTGATGTCATCTTCACAGGGTGAGAGTGAAGCCTTTGGAAGTGGGCAGAACTGTGAATGTGAAATTCAGAGGGAGCAGGGAAGGACAGCAACTGGGGCATCGGGGAAATGGCAAGATTCAGGTTTGCAAAAGATACGAGAGAATCTAGAAGGCCTGACGCATGGCATTGGAGCAGAATCTGGGGGGAAATTTCGACTAGAGGGGTGGAAAAGAGAAGCGATCAAGAAATCCCAAGGGCTTCAGTGAGATTCATGGGACCAGGAAGCATCCAGAGAAAGGTGTATAATAGGAGGTTTGGATGGAAAGTAGGATCCCCAGTATTGCTAAAGAGAGCCGAAGGACTACTATGATTCCAGCTGCGTAGGGCCAGGTGAGTACTACGTAAGAACGAAGCTGCATGTAATGAAGCTGGAGAGAATAAAGCTGATGAGCGATGGGGTTAGGGGTGTAGGCGGGGGAAGGAATCAGAATTTGGGTCAAACTGGGAGCTGTGTGCAGTGCTCAGTTGCAGAATTTATGCACAGGAATTTTTTTAGGGACAGGGGAGAATTTGATGAAAATAGTGCATTGAGCTAATGAACCTCAAAGCTGCAGATGTAATGTCAAAATGTCCGATGATTTGGAATCTGGAGCTCAAAGTTTATTGGCTGTGCTGATGACTTTGCCATCAAGCAGATGAAATCAAGTCTCAAAATTTAAAATAGTCATTTGCTCCAGATTGAATTTTGCCTTCCTAAAAGTCCTATTTTAAAGCCCTATCCTCAATCTGATGGTATCTGGGGATGGGGTCTTTGGGAAGTTATTAAGCTCAAAGGAGGTCGCTATAGTGGGGACTCTCAATAGAATTAAGGCCCTTAGAAGAAGAGAAGCAGAGAGCTCATTAGCTTGTTTCTCCTCCTTTGCATTGCAACACTGTGAGCATGTGAACCCCTGCAAGCCATAACCAGGGGCCTTATTCAAACTTCACCTTGCTAAGCCAGGCATGGTTGTGCACGTCTGCAATCCCAGCACTCAGAAAGCTGAGGCAGAAGGATCTTTGTGACTTCAAGACCAACCTGGGCTACAAAGTGAGCTCAAGGTGAGCCTGAACTGCATAGTAAGACCTGTCTCCAAAACATACACATACACAAATAAAAAACAAAAAATAATAATAAAAAAAAGACTTCACCTTGCTGAAATCATCCCAAGCAAGGATCCAGCCTCCAAAACTGTAAGAAAATACATTTCTGTTATTTATAATACCCAGTCTATGGTACTTTTTATCACAACCAAAGCTAAGACTTAGTCACTGATGATTTCCCTGCTAATTTAGGGTATCTATAGTTATAACATCCTATCAGAGCCTAATTTAAAATTTCAACTTTATATAATAAATAATGCTACCCTTCATAAAGTCTGAATAGAAATGTAGTAATACAAAAGCAAAAAAGAAGACAGAAATAAAGGAAGAAAGGATACATAAAGCAAAGAGAGTCCTTGGAAAAAAATTTAAATGTCTTGGAAATGTCTTCAAGTAGAATAAACTAAAAAACAATGCCAGTCGAAACTAAGTTCTCACTATGTTCCAGGCACTTTCCCAGGCTCTGTCATTTATCCTCAGAATAACCTCACGAGGAAGTTAAAATACTATTGTTACCCTATGTTTATGGGTTAAAGATAAGGTCAAAGGAGGTAACGTAAAATCCACCCAAGGCAATAGAAAAGGATCATCTGCAGTATAAACAAATGAAAGAGTTACCATCATGCTTCTAGATCATCAGTATACTTTGCAAGAGTTTCCTTGGTGAGAAACAATTCTTCTTAATTTCCCTACTTATATGTAAAGCTATGTCCACCTAAAATACTCTGTGTAACTTTTACTTCCTGTTTCTCAATTTCAAAATGAAGACAATAAAGGAGCAGGCTTGGAGGCTAACACAAACACACACACACACATGCACACACGTGTGTGTGTGTGTGTGTGTGTGTGTGTGTGTGTGTATATGAAATATCTAGGACAGGTCTAAAAGTATGTGTCCAAAATATCCACAGTTTAGATAAATTCTGGTTACTTTTCTATGCTATACAAACCATTAAAGTTCTGGAAGTCTGATCAAGCCAAGTGAAAAAGAACTTTGATATACCTCTTAACTGCAATTCAAAAAAGTATCTACCCAGCATTAGTTATAACTTGTAAAGTTGGAACTTTAAAAAAGCAAAGGGAAATATAGCAGTTTTCTAAGTGTGTGTTCAATGTGTTGTCATTTAAACAGGATAAGCAAGAAGCTCCAGCCCCATGTTACCCAGGCAGTTTTACACTTGGCAGAGGTTAATAGTGAGCGCTCATTCAGCTCCTCCAGTAGGGTGTATCTGTGACTGAGCTCTGCGGTCAGTACCTCATTTAGATCAGCACGTTGGATGGTTATGGAACAGCATTTCCTTGGGGTTCTTGCTGGTGGAGGCCAGTAGAATTTTACTAGGTGGCTTTTGATGGACACCTGTGGCTTTATACTTCCTCCAGGAAATGAGGAGTAACAAAAAGCAACTCAATCCGGCTGGAGATGTTGCTCATTGCTCCTGTAGTTGAGGAGCAGGTCCAGACCAACAG